GCAGGCTCTGGGGGGAGGAGGGGGCAGGTCCTGGACCCTCCCAAAATAGCCTTTCCAACAAGGGACTTATTCAAGGGCGCAGGGCTGAGTTGGGATGCTCGGAGACGCGCTGGGCGGTGGGAGCGCAGCAGCTCAATGCCATCATCGCAGCCTCAGCCTCGGTCAAGTCCTCCCAGAAGCTGAAGCACATGTTGGAGGTGAGCATGGGGGTTTGGGGATGTGGGGACAGGTTGTGTCAAAGCCCTTCTCGTTTGCCAGACTGCAGCAGGGCAACGTGCCTGCATGGTGGAAAGGGAGGCCAGAGCTCTGCTTTGCCATTCTATCCAGTGAATCTTTGACTCCAAGGACTGCAACCTGCACGTGCCCAATCTACCATCCCAGCCACGAACAGCTCAGCCCTCATTTCACCAGCTGGGCCAGGCTGGAATTCAAATCTCATTCCTCTGCCCCCACCCAGCAACCTTCCTGCCCATGCAGCCTCAGGGTTTGAGGGGGCAGCAGCTGGCACAGCATGGAGCTGGTAGCCCCAGCTCCCTCCCACAGCCCCACTGCCTGTCCTCAGCAGTTCCCTCACACACCATCAGGCTTTTCCACTGCTGAACAAATGTGTCTGGGACCCCTTTGCCAGAAGCCATATCCAGCAGGAGAGCAGGGACTGAGCCAAGACTCAGGTCTGGTTTTGCTCCCTAGTCCCTGAGCAGCTGCAGTAGCTCAGTGCCTCTGTTTACCCACCTGAACAATGGCCACAGCAGTACCTGACCCAGCTCAGTCCTCACACCCAGCAGGACACAGCCCTGTGCTCTCCTCTCGCTTACCTCACCCGCCACAAAGAAGAGTAACGGCGCCTCCTCCTCTTTGGCTTTGTACTTGGCTATGATTTTTTCAGCTATGGGCTGAATCAGTTGTTTCGCTGCCTCCGACTCTCCGTCATCCTCTGAATCTGCAGGGCACAGGGGTGGGGAGACAAAACGAAAGAGCCAAGGCAAAAAAAAAGGAGGTTAGGATCAAACGGATGCAAACCGGCCCACAGTGATGCTCTGTCCCACAGCACCACCAGGCAGGAAGCAGAGCACAAACTCGGATGCACAGCACAAACTTCAAAGCCACCCGACCCTGTAGCAATTAGGGAGCAGCTGAAATGCTCTTTTCATGTTGAGACAGGGAAACACGTAACAGAAGAGCAACTCCTGCTCCCCAAATACTTTGCTGCTCACTCCCTCGTGCCATTGCTGATGCACAGGGACAAACAGGCACACAAAAAAAAGCTGCTTTGCAGTTGGAGCAGTGTTGGCATGTTTTGAAGACCAAACGAAGGAGCTGATCTGAGGCTGGCTGCCACCCCTGCCCGCCCCCCACCGTCCCTCTGCCTCGGGACGGCTCATCGGCAGCTTTGCTGCTCGAGTCTCCGCGGCAGCAGCACTGTGAAGGCAGCTTTGATTTGACAGAGGTAGAGTAGAAAGAGATGGCAACATCAATCAAACACCAGCCACCACTGAAGTTCAAATAACTGAGCTGGAAAGAGAAGAGACTGCGTCCTTGAGCAGCATGGAGATTAAATGATTTCAATTCGGGGACAACTTTTAGCATTTGAAAAAGAAGGAAGAAGGCAGAAAAGAGGTCCCTTGTCTCCTGGTTGTGTGTGGTCCCTGATGCAGCCACCCAACACAACTGGTCCAGCTCTTGGCTGGGATAGGCAATGCCCAAGTACCTTCTCACACATCCCTGTCCTCCTCTCTGGCTTCTCCAAGCAAAGCAGGAGATTCCAGAGACACTGCACACTGGATTTGAGGGTCTGTCCTGCGTGCATGGCAGTGATAAATACACAGAATTGTGGGGTGTCTGCAGGGATTGATTTTTCTACAAACAACAGCTGCTGGCAGTGCTCCAGGAAGCCCTGCACACTCTGGCTAACCCAGCCCTAACCTCTCCAGGGAAGGATGTGGATCGGTCAGGATTTATTCAGCCCCGGCCTGCCTTCTCCTGGGGGTGTTGCTGCCTGTGCAGCACAGGCATTGGTCTGCTGGGGGGTCTCCCAGCAGGACAAGGCTGGCCAGGAGTCCCCATCCCCAGTGCAGCACCAGCTGCATCTCTGCCCCACCACATTGCTGGCAGATTTCATCGAGGCCATCCATCCCCAAAAGCCCCGAGTGAGAGCCCCAGCTGCTCCCCTGACAGGCTGTTTGCAGCAAGGTGATAGAAAAACTTCGCTCAGAGCAAGATAAAAATAACTCTTTCCAGAGCCCTGCAGCGCCAGCCCCAATCCATCAGGCCTGGCGTGGCCAGGCAGTCCTTCCCACACGAGGAGAGGATTTTTGGCTCTGGGCTCACATCCCCCACTGGGCTCCGCTGAATAAATAACAAGGGTCAAAAGGAAATCTGAAAGGGAAGGAGGAAAGGAGCGAGGGCCATGCTATCAGTGCTGCAGAGAAGGGTGTGCTGCTCACAGGGGGCAGGCGAGGAAGCAGGACATGAGCCCTGCCCTGGGCCAGGCCCTTGCACAACACCAGCAGGCTCAGGGCAAGGGAAGCTTCTTCAGCAAATCCCCACTGCAGCTCCACACAGCACACAAGGGACAGCCACACCTCCACCAAGAGCCCAGGACCCCTCACCTTGCTCCCTGGGCTGCTGTGTACACCCCTCTGCTGCCCACCCAGGGCTCAGCCTGCAGCACAGCTCATCCCAGACGTGCCCTTGCCTGATTTACCCATCCATCACTAGCAGGAAAGCCATTAGGAATGAGCCATCTGTGCTTTGGATAAGCTCTAGGCTTATATCTAACTGCAGGAGAGCTTCATGTGTGGGTTAGCACCAGAAGAAAGACAGGAACTTTGGAGAAAAA